CTAGGCAATACTCGATTTTATTGTAATCAGGCCTCATTTACATTTTTATCTTCTAGCTTTTTTCACGCTTGTTTTTATTTTCAATTTTTCGCACCCCATTCGTTTATATTTTCGCTTGCGCGCCACATTTTTTATTCGTTAAAGGCTATAGACTGATAGCCGAAAGCTTATGTTTTTAATATATTTTTAACCAGAGAACGTTTTTATTCCAATAAACTTTAATTTAAATGGTCCCACCTAAGGTTACATCCACAGACTTAGATAGATACATCCACAGACTTAGATACCAAGATAGGAAAATACCAAAGAGAAATGTTAAACCATAAAGGAACAAGGATGGTTAAAAATTTAACTCAGATTACAAATGACGAACTTGAAAAATTCAGGCTATAATTTTCATGATGTGCGAACCGTGACGTAACTCCTTGTATAGTGAACAGTACCACATGAAAGTATACTGCTAAATAACTTTAATTTGCGTGGTCGTACACTTGGGTCGCTAAGGCTACAAGAAGTAGGGTGAACTCAGCTTTTCAAACTTGTCTAGCAAATATACTGTGCAGTTTGAAAGACTGTAAAGCGTATTTTTCATTTTGGGTCATATAACAACATAAGATAACAATATGACTTTTAGGTTTGAAAGTGGTCCAAAATTTTTCACTGTACATTGACAATAACAACGATCATGTCGAGGAGAAGGTTGTTGTTATATATCGTGGTAGATGCAATAATAAAGTGTATTATCGTTTGTCACACGATGTAGTCACTTAAGATATAGATCGCGACGTTTCGACTGCTTACTGCTAGTCTTCTTCAGGCGATAAGGTCGACTGATTGCAAGGTATCATTTATATCACAAAGGTCGGCTGTGATTGGTGCATTTCGATCCTCCTATTGCTCCATTGTTCCGACAAGTAGCTGTTCCTCAGTGGTCCGCTGTTGTACCGTTCTCCAGTTGTTGTGTTTTTTGATCGTGGGCATCCTGCTTCAGCAATTTCAACTCCACTATCCCTGTTGATGTTATTAGGGTGAAGTCTTATCTGAATAGCTTCCTTGACCCTACATGTGTACCAGTGAGGATCTCGATCAATAAACTTGACCTCATTCCAGAGATGATAGTGGCCGGTCTCGTTGGTGTGTTCAGAAACGGCGGAGGTCTGGNCTTCCTTGACCCTACATGTGTACCAGTGAGGATCTCGATCAATAAACTTGACCTCATTCCAGATAGGATAATCATGTCGGCTGTTAGTTCTCCTGTCTTTTTTCTGTTCTGAAGTCACGTTGATATTGAAAAACGTAGTTTGCTTTTCTTAGAATTAATACTTTATTTTACAGTACCATGGAACACAGCAACTCCTGGTCTGCCCTTTCTAACGCCGGCAACAGTATTGCCAACTCCTTCCACGACTACACCGTCAATAGCATTACCAACACAAGCTTCCACACCTGTCGCAAATACGCTGGCCACAGCACTACCAACACTCTCTTCCACTCCTTTAAATACCGCAGTCTTCACGGTGGAACAATCCGCCTCCAGTATGACACCAGCGATGTCATCTTCAATCTCACCACCTGTGATTTTGCCACCCGCTGTCCAGAGGTAGGTAGAAATAAGTTCACGGATCATTGCTTTATATGACGACATACGTATACTTGGGAGTGGATAGGCGGAGTGGAGTGTATTAACTATCATACAACAAGAGATTGTTTCTACTTGAGAATTTGAAGTGGTTGATTAGTTTGTTTGTTGGTTGGTTCGGATTGACAGACAAACAGACAGACAGACAGACAGACAGACACACTGATTGGCTAATGGACGAATGGATTGACCGACTGACTGATTGATCATGACCGACCGACCAATTGACCACTCGTCTGACTGTCTGAATGAATGCTGAATGAATGACTGACCAAGTGACTGATTGGTTAACAGACAGCCTGACTGACTAAATGAATGAATGACTACCTGACTGACTGACCGACTGACTGACTGACTGACTGAATGACTGACTGACTAGCTGTGATAACTGGCTGACTGATTTGAGAATTGAGCGATTGGTGATCGGTCGGTCGGTCGGTTGGTTGACTAATCGATTGATCATGGATTAGAGAAGACTGAGCCATTTTTCAACTGTCAGTACTTAATCCACTGACAGATTGTCAGATCAGTTAAGTAGATGACTGTTTGCTAAATAATAATGGATTTATAAAGGGTGCAATATCTAAGTTATTCACTTACTTTTGCAGAGTACTTGTTGATTTAATCAGTTCCTTCAGCCAAATCATGCAAAAGGTAATTGATTCACTCTACGTCTAATTTTTCAAAGGACAACTTATCTCGGGTAATGAACGAATGAATGGACCTTTTTCCGTGTGCTTCATTGACGGAGAAGAAGAAGTCAACGTCCATAATCGCGCAAAAAAGAACAAGTCCTAACATTGAGTCATCTTTATCAAAAAACTTGGGCCGATAAAGGATATTATATGGTATAAATGTAAAGAATAGCATTTTCCCTTCCAGGACACTGCAGAAGATCCTAATTCTAAAATCCTATTCGGGGCCTTGTGCACTATAACCTGGGTTGTCTCCCATTAGCCTTCATTTACAGTCGGTGCCCGAGCCCTGGTGCCTGGGCAGCGGTACAAAATAGCGTTGCGTTCAGACACTGTTGGAGCTTCAAGAATCCAAGTACCATTTAGTGCTCGACTATAAGGTCGAGATCTTGTACCCGGGCACGGGCACTGTGTCCGAACTCTGGTGTGATTAGTTGGAAGAAATTAAAAGGTGTGTTCACATTAGTGACTAGCGAGAATCGTGCTCGAGCACCTAGTGTGAACATAGCCTTAACTAGGGTTTATTGCATCACGTGACGCGTTAATTAAGAAAAATCGCACGATCGAGAATATTGCATGGTCTGGGGCTCCAGTAACATAATTTGGCAAGTTCATTCACGCGGTGCAGATTGCGACTTCCTCGGTATTGAACCAATTGAATGCCATGCAATATGAAGCATTCCGAGACATTCATCTTTCAATTGAAAAACATTTCCCTATCTATATTCAACTGACTAATTACCTCTGTCTCCTTAGATTACAGGTCTTCTCGGACAGCCGATCACTCCTGCAGAGTTCGAACAGTTTAGAAGTGAGTGAACACTACTTTGCAACTTCTTGCAGTCAGTATATAAACAGCAAGAGCGATCACCAGCTAATTTCTCATTACCATATTCCTAAAAGGACAGGTTGACAAGTAATGAGAATTGAGCAAACATCAGTGCAATTAACGTCAAAGTACTTGTAATAGTTTTCCCTTCAAGAATAACTCATCGAGGGCTATTCCTTAAAGAAGTTACATCACGGTTTGCGCTTCGTGAAAAGTTCAACCTAAATTTTTCAAGTTGTTCTTTTGTAATCAGTGTTAATCTTCTCCATCCTTAACCATCCTTGTTCCTTTATAGTTTAATATTAGATCTTTGGTGTTTTTCAGTATTTAAGTAAACTATTATTTTCAGGTTTCCTTCAATTAAAAGATGCTTTTGTACCTGGCCAAATGACTCAAAATAACGTGATCTTTAAAACATATATAAAATCACAGATAGCCTCTGCAGTTGCAGTAAATTGGTGTTGTTGTTAATAGATAATACAACACACGTACACTGAATTTGTGGGAAACCTATAGTATGTTCCGTATATAATCCACAATGAATTTCAAATCCTTCTAGCTTGTGTTAATTTTGTATAGTTCCGGTCTAATGTGCGGCAGTCAGTCTCACGAAAAGTATTTCGAGCTTGATTTTTTTTTTATTGTTTCACAGATGAAACGTTGCAGATTTTAGTGCAAATTGAGAATCAGCTACTTGTTCCCACTCCTACCCAGCCAAGCAACTTGCAAATGGCGAAGAGAGCGATATCGAACATCGCAAATCTACAGGATGTGGTAAAAATGCTGGAGAATATCAAGCGAAGATTGCTGGGTTAAGATCTTACTTAAAGCCTGTGATTTCAAGATCTCAAAAGATACTTTTTTCCTCGTGTACAGGAGTAATAACTGACATTTTCATGGACGCAGTCGAAACTCTAAATACCGTAGATTATCGATTAATTAAGTCACTTTAAAGGGCCTAAATCTCACTTAGAAATTTTAAAAGCTTAATGGCTTCAAGTCTTCTAATTTTCTGTCAGAAGTTGAGATTCTTAAGGAGATGCCTTATGTAAAATTCATAGTGAAACTTTGTTTGACTAAACAGGTCGAATTTGGTTAGGAGCCAAGAACGTATTCCTCCTAACAGTTACGTACTACCAAGGGTCAAAACTTCCCGTTTTCAGGTATACGCAAGACCTATTTGATACACTGAGGAAAAACTCTTTTACCAGACGGTATTAACGCGACGCACTGAACGTTAGTGTATGTATCTCTGTATCTATAACTGTTCAAAAGAAAATAGGTTTGGCAGTTCTACTGTCCATTCAGAGCGCGCGTGGTATCTCCCAGTTATTTTAAATCGCTCTATATCATACATCTATCATTTACCTCATGGATATGGTTAAGCATTTACAACTCATGTTATTTCAAAATAAACATTTAATGAACCGTTTGCAGTGCTTCACAGCCCTGGCCTTGACAAAAGCCTTACATTGTTTTGATTTTAAAACCGATTTAGTTGGTATATAGGTACCACGTATGCAATCAAACAATTGTAGATACTGTTTATATAGTGCAACCTGCAGCTGTTCCGGGTTGAAGGCAGAAAATAAAGTGCGGGTGTGATTGGCTGATCTTTAGTTTCCGTTGCTATATTTCTACACGTTGTGTTGTAAATAAGTCAAACACTTAACTGAAAACAGTGTAATGGATTTGTACTCTCTCTTATCAATCGACTATGATGCCTTGTTACCGCGTTAAAACTGACGCGAACGCGCAAAACACTAATAACTTCGTACTAACTGAGCACGAGGGGAATATTAAGGAATATTGGGGAATATTGGCCCTAGGACGTGACAATACGAAGCTCGCTGCGTTCGGCCCGTACTGTCACGACAGAGGGCCAATAATCCTCAGTGCGGCTCGAGCAAGTTAGGTTAGTAAGTTGTTTATTATATGGCACAATACAGAAAACAATACGCGGCTTATGAAACGGTCCGTATGGTAAAATCCTGACCAAGAAAGAACCAATCACATCGCTCGCATTTTTCTCAAGACTACCTCGCCGTACAATAAGACAGCGTATTACACTTTAGTATCCCGGTTTGACCGGTGTTCAACAGAGCGAAAACAAGTTGATATGTAAGTGCCGAGGACAAGAATTACACCGGACGACGAAGAATGTTCGAAACTATTGGCGGAGGAGTGAGTCAGACTCCGCGAGTGAGGTCTTTACTGGAAAGTCTCAAACCGAGACCAGGCCGTATTGACCAAGCGAAAACGAAGTCAATATGACAAGGTCGAGGTTTGAAATTTTCCCGTAAAGAACGAACCTTCGAGGTTGATAAATTGTTTATTATATGGCTTTTTGCTCTGTCTTTGCAGGCCTGTAATCGGCCCGTGGGCATTGTGGGACAGTAATGCCCTACAGTCAGCCAATCAGAGCAAGCGTTAGAACGGCTACAAACACAAGCCAATATGTAATAGTATGTGTAGATCAATATTTTGCTCCCTGTGCGCATTTCTCTTCGCCCAATTAGGACCTAAAACAACACGCCAACCCGTAAAATATTGATCCAAGAGTAAAATAACGATCGAAGAAGGTGTATGTATATCTAAGCGAATTCGCGAAAACATGCCCGCTAGGTTTTCGCCTGGATTCGGGCGAAGCCTGAATCCAGGCTAAGCCAGCGACCTTAGACCCTGGAGGGGCTCCGTCAAGGCTAGGCTGGGCACATGGCCCAATGACTGGCCTATCTGCTGGTGGCTTGCTGGAGGCCAGCTGTCAAAAGCAGGGGGGAGGCGAGGGTGTCTTTTACTGACACCCCCAACTAGCTAGAACTTGAGTTTTCAGTGTTGATGTTGACTGTGTTTCTGGGTATTTTACCCAGTTGTTTGACCTTGTTTGAGGCTTCTGTGTTGACAT